AGTTCAATTTGCATTTCTTATGCAACACTATGAAAATCACGCAACTCATCGATTATATTCACAGTAACTAAAGGGATAAAAAACGACAGTGCGGATAGATGTACGACTGTATCCGCTGTTCCCAAGACGACTTTATACATTTCGTTTCATAGAAATAAGAAGCGGTCAGGAATCTGAGAGCGTTAAAAACACCACAAACGCTTCGGCGGTTTTGTCAACAAAACAAGCACTTTTTCCGCACTCAAACCCCTACCTCAACTACATTTAACCCTTTAGCCTGTGCTTCGAAGAACTTCCCCCAAAGACTGCTTAACGGTTCAGACGCATCTATCCAGAATTAAAGCAATTCTTCGAAATGACATCGGAAAAACTCATTGAACGTCAGACAGGTGTTCAACAAATTCCAAAACTCTATGCTGCAATAGCAGCAGTAACAAATGATAACCTCCAAATGAAATCTTATTGTAATTTACTACCAAGAGGATAATAGGCAAACAATATATTTTAATAAATTTATATGCAAAGGCAGTATAAAACTTGTACGAACTTTCGGAGTAGATTGACCGCCTAAATCAGATTGAATAACAACAAGAAAACAGAATTGCTGCGACCAAATGCACTCTTCTGTGAAAAGCACTCACAATATACAAAAGGAGGACTACATCTCTAGAAGAAACTGCTCACCAGGGCCAAAAAACAAATCTTAGAGAAAATGAAAAAGCAATCAAGCAGTTTCGACCAAAAATTAAAAAAAATCAATAGCGCAACAATATTTACATGTTTGCCAAAACCCTGTTCTTAGAAAAGATGCTTTGAATTTTGTCAATGCCTATAGATAATCACTTTTACAAGTCTTTTTGGTCAAATCCATCTAGCGAAAGTCACTGAGAAGAATGACATCGATACAGAAAGACGTTGATACAATGGTGTAAATCTGTCGGTCTCCACAATCACAGCAGTATTCAAAAAGAGCAGATTCTGATTACGCACCAAACAAAGGTTACAATTATTAGAACTACTGACAAAGTAAAATTCTCAACAGTTGTAAATGACTCCAAAATACTAATTCCAACTACAAATCTACCCCAATCATCATCTTAATCACCAATAAAGCAACTACTCCTGTTATATAAATCCAATCACAGCAAAAGGACAAAATTAAGACTGAAGATAGCAAGACAAAAAGTAATTCTCTATTAAAGAGACATAATAAGTAGCACCCTTTTAGTTAACAAACTATAACTGTAGAAAGAGTTTGTCAAATTGGTAACTATGCATCATAGACCAGCAAATTAGCCATCTTTAAAAAAACATAGATCGAATATATTCAGAGAAAGTATACAACTTATACTCAAATCTGAAACTAACTCTTCATACGAAAAAAACGAAAATAAAAATAAAGCACATCGAAATCTGCTAATAAACAAGTTACAACAGTCTCATTTTCTAGCGTTTTCTAGTTTATCTTAGAAAACAAATGGTAAGACACGTAAGCTCTAGAGAAATTGACTCTGTTTACCTAACAGACACTAACAAAAGCAATAATAACAACGAAGCTTGTACATGATCAAAAAATCTAACAAGGTAGTTAATGTCTTCTAGAAGACAATGCGTAAACAAATACAGAAATAGACTGTAATACATCATCCTACATCCCACTACGAACTTTACAACTCGATCGGCCTAATTCGAGCAAAAATAAGAGTTCAAAGCATCATGTGACAAGCAATAACCTTTTTGCGTAAGCATGAGTATAATCAAACGTCGTGAAACTAATGCCAACAGCGATAGGCCCCTAAACAAGGTTTAAACATTTCAAGCAAATGCGAATAATCAAAAACAGATTCACATCAATTAATACGCTTTACTCATAAAGCTCACTTTTATCCAGTTCATACTCAATCCTTTGTACAATCCACCTCGAATACCTTCTGCTTCGTAAACTTTCCATAAACTGACAAACATATTTTGTCCTCGCGGAATCCGACCTGTTTGCATCCGTCTTCGCACAATGTCCAATGGATACGAAGAAGATTGCCCAATCAGCCCAGCAAAAGCACCGAATAACAACCGGAAGTAAGGTGTGACATCTTTACCCGTTTTTTCTTTAAAAAAAATCACCTTAAAAATTTTCACAAAACAATCAAAATTGCAGGGATTGCTCTCTACTGATAACTTCAATGAAAAAATTTTTGATAAAGCTCCACATAACACTTACACGATATAGAAGACTCACCTACGTAAAGTAATTTAAGCGTCTCAAAAGTAAAGAAACTGGCCCCAGCATAAGGAATAACTCCAATTATAGTAGGAACTATGCCTCGATATAAAAGCCTGAGACAAAACGACGTAAGAATTACAAAAAATTGCAAACCATATCAAAAGAAAATGCAAAACATTAAGCATTCTTTCTTCGCACCTACAGAATTAAAATACACAACGTTACCAAAATGAAAAAGCAGCCGGATTGAAATTAAGAAGCATATTATCAATTCACGTGCCTCATTCCGCCTTCCCTATACGTCTTTACAAAAACAGAACGCAGAGTTCGGTACTCAGCCTTTGTTGAAGTGGCAAGCCTCGCTTTCGCAGTATCTAAAGGATAGGTTAATGAAGTGGCGGTAACAGCCGCAGAAGCTCCAGCCAACCAACGTAGAAATGGAGTCCTCTTGCTAAAAAAAATTGTACTGTTCATGAAAAGCAAAAAGAAAAACCAATAATCGTACACCACAAGAAAAGCAAACAGAGTACCATGAAGGCCTAAACTCACCCATTCATATCCACTCTTAATACTTTTTTAATTTCTTGATGTGCGCAGAACTGTATAGATGCATAAGGCACAACCCGAATCATAGTGGCAGAGTTACCTCTCCATAATGCAAGAAAACCAGCATTTTGATAGGTGAGCTTTACAAACTTTAAAGCAGCTTTGAATGAATAACCTTTTGTGCTAGACACTGAAATCATGCATAAAAATCGTAAAAAATGTTTCGGCTGATAAAATTAAAAATTAATAACCACTGGAATTTACGACTACTAACCACAGAAGAAGACTCAAAGTCCAAGCCAAGAAGATATCAAAAAATCCCCCAAACCTTGGAAATTGATCTTCGTCCTATCCAGTGGGGCGATTGTAGTTTTTGCTAAACCCCCAGCACATGCTCCTGCTGAAAGTGATGCTATAATAGCGCGAGCGGTTGTTGGTTCATCTGATTTCTAAAACGCAATATAGACCCGGTCGCAATAAAATACTTAACAAAACAAATGCCGAAACGAAATTGTCCAGCATATAAAACACTACTCTTCATTCTCGCCATCAAATTCGTCTTCCACCACCACTCAGACTTTCTCTTCCTCTCAAGAGAGCTTATTTCCTCCCGCCACGTGAGTGCTTACAGAATCTCGCAGAATTTTTTTGTTTAAAAACCCTAAGCAATTTTGGGATACAACAGTAAAAACCATTCTGACAGAAATAACCCGACACCTCCGAACTAATTGAAGCATACTGTAACAAAACATTTCCTCTTGAACATTAAGGTATCTGATCTCTGTCCAAACTTATCAACCACTCCTCGCCTGCTTCAATTCCTCATACAAAAAGATGAATGCCAATTATCACTGCATCTTCAGAACGCTAATGGAGAAACGGGTATTAGAAACTCTAACCACGAAAATTTTCAGCTGTATATTCAAAATGTTATAATTAACATCAAATATAAAAGTACGTACATGCAAACATAAATCAGAGAGGACAAACTGAATTCCCGATGAGCAACAACTAGGACAAATTCTTAATGTCCCCTTCGAAAACTATCCCCAAATTGAGAAAAATAAGTAAGCCTACCAAGATGTTCAAATGAACAGTGCATATAAACGAAGAGAAAATTACTCGTATGATGTGAAGCAGTTTTACTTTGGTGCCTTTCTAACACATTTAAAATCGAAGAAACTTCGTTATACAATTAATTGTGCCTGGAAAAAACATACTTGTTCATATCGTGGCATTTCTTTGAAGTTTCAACCAGAAACTTCCAATAGAATTTCCGGAAACAGTCAATAACGAACTAGAATTCTAAAAGCTAGGCAGAAGAGCTCATCACACTAAATATTCTTTCGGAAGCGTGAACAGGTTATCTTCAATTGAAGCAAATGCTATAAAATGCGAACTGGGGCTCCAAACATCCACTTCGACAACTGTGACCTGTAAAATAAATATAAAGCAAAAAACTAAAAAGACAAATACACAGCCAGGACGACAAATAGGTACCAGCGGATTAAAGGCAAAGATACAAGTTCGCTTCAGACAGGCAAAAAAAGAAAATTGATGAGATAATAAAGACTTCAAAAAATAGATGCATTTATTCTAAGAATAAGTTTCAGCAAAAAGAAGAGCATGAACAAAGATCAAATACTGGAAAAAAATTTGGAAACCACTAGGAAAAATAACAGTAAATCCAAATAAAAACAAATACTTGTAATATTGTGAGTAGCAATTAATAAAAAAAAAAGCCTGTCTTTAAAGTTTCAATGCCCGAGATATAAAGCTGATCTTTTACTTTCAAAAACCAAGGTAAACCGCTGAGATTTGAGAAGCTTTGCTCTTTAATGTTTTCATACATGCCCATGCCAAATATTAAAAGCTACATTACCAATAATCTACATCCTTGTACTTCGCAAAGTACCAATAAAGAAGTAGCTGGCAAAAGCACCAAAAATATAGATCTAAATCGTCGGTTTATTCTGACCAGCAGTGAACCTAACGCAGACTGTAATAAAATGAGTTAACTGCGATCACGAAACAAAATCCAGCAAAAAAGATTTGTCCAAAAGTCACTAAATTAACGAAGAACCAGAAAGAAACATCCAACAAAACCTAGAAAAAAAAAAAAAAACGCAACGCAGCTGAAAGGACTTTATAACGAGTCTAGAATCTTCTACTGTAATAATATTCAAAATCAATTAAGAATCCCAAAATTTTTTCTCAATATAAACACCTAAAAGCATAAAAAACTGATATGAGCTGTAAAATTTCTTTACTTCTTGACAACTCACGAAGACGATCATATTAATGAAAACCGACCCTCTTTCCTACACTTTTCCATTAATCAGAAAACCAATCCTAATTCTCCCGTTAATCAACTGACGCTACTTTAACTTTGTCAAAAAAACAGTGAACCTTTCCAATTTCTAATGAATAATTAAAATTATTCTTTTCCACTCCTTCAACAGTCTTACCATTCACCCGCCTTAAACTCTGATAAGTTTTACTAAAACACCTGCGAACATTCAGATCATTTGAAATTGAAAAAGAAAAAAAAAGAATTTTTAAAGCCTACAAACCCTTTAGAAAGAAAAGAATAATTTTACAAAGATCCTCAGAAAATAGTACTAACAAATCACAGCAGCTAGAAGACAGCTCAGATAATCGACAAATCTTCTTCCTCAACACAATCGCCAACTAACGCCCTACGCTAAAACACACATATTTCACGTGAAATCCAACCTAAACTGGCGAGGGAAGAGCAAAAAAAACCTCGCATAACACCGAAAGAGTATTTAGTGTATTGCACTATCCCACTTGTCGTACTCTCAATTCTCGTAAACGCTTCACTCATGATTCCGGCCAAAATTACTAGAAAAATCCTAAAAAAAAACGTTGACGAACAGCGAGAGGTAGCTACACACCGACTTCAAAATGTAATACCTGTTTTATCCGTTTCAAGAATACCAAATTGGAATAAAAATATACAAACAAACAAAGAAATTTCTTTTCCCCTCCTTTTACCCCCTCAATAGAGTGTAAAAAATACGTGAAACCGTGACAAAGACAAGAATTGAGTAAGCAAAAATTAGTTTTAAGCTGTGCAACGTATATCCATCCACTTTTCCCCACTGAAACCACACCTCTTCCGTGCCTGGTACAGAAATACGTTTTTATATATGAGGAAGCGTACAAATCAATGACGAAAAAAAAAAACTAAATATCAACGATGGTATTTTAACAGAAAGCAAAAAATAAATAATAAAAGTGTTAAAAGACAGAATAAGATTACTAAAGTTTTTTTTAACTCTGTATCTATCAACTTTTTCCGGTGAAACAGGTTCGTGTCCCTGACTTAATTCAAATCACTTCACAGCTACTCACTCATACGGTCATATGACCATAGATCAGTAACCTTTTACCATTTCTCTTCAATTCTCCTTTTCCATAATATAATGGAACGCTAACAGCTAGTGCTGCAATAGTTATAATAATAATAATAGTAACAGTAATAGTGATGGTAATAATGATAATGACAATAGCAATAATAAAAATAACAAAATAAAACAAAAACGACAATAACGAAAATAACCCTTCAAAACGTAACACCAACACCAACATTTACCCTTCATTTACGTAAGAAATGCTCATCTAGCTTTACTCCCACAATTTATAAGATGACGAGTGCGAAACCTCAATGACTTACGGTTTCACCGGCTAGACGATGGTACTCGTCTTTCCAAACAGAAAGAAACCAAAAAAAAGCAAAATTCTATGTCAGACGAAAAAGTGACAAAATAACGCTACAGCACGCCCGTTAAAAACCAAGTTTCACACAATAAAACAACTCCCAACAAACTTGGAGAGTAAAAAACCAAATATAACGTCCGATAAAAAAAATGACAAAAATAACGCTATAGCACAGTTGATGATAAAAGTACACTTGTTAAAACCAGAAAAAAATTTTTCAATTATTAAAAGTTAAAAAAAATGATAGTAAATTTAAAAAGTTGCTGAAAAAGACCAGTGAAGTACTTTCTAATTAAAGAACTGAAAACTTGACCACTATACAGACATCTCATGCATCGCAACATAAAGGCGAAAAGAAGATCCAGTTCTAAGTTAGTATCAACCAGTATGCAAATGTATATCGCTTTCGGTGCCAACAATGGCGCCTAAACAGCCTCTTTTGTCACGAATTTATGTTCTTCCGGGAAGTTCAAATTTCCTGTGATAACAGTCCATCTACTGCATTCTTTTTACTTTTTTTTCTTCGCTTTCTATTCAACCATAAATCTGAATGATGCTACATATCAACACCTACCGGTATCACAAAAATGAAGTCTGCAAAAAAAAAAAAAGGAAGAATGAAAGAAATAAAACAAAATAAACAAAGTAAAAGAAAGAGAAGAAACAACAAACAAACAAACACGTGATGTCTTTTTATATGGGACATCGCATTATATTATTAACTGCTTCTCGGTTCCACGCAACTTGCTCATCATCCACCGTCACAGGTGACGATTACTGACATCGCCATTTTTCTTAGCATGTTTACAAATTATAAAAAACAATAAAAACAAAAAAAAAAGTGACTGTGATGAGTCATCAATTGTTTAAGGAAAACTATATGCGCGTAAAACCAAGGTTATATATATTTTTGGAACGCAAATTTCGTGCAACAGCTGCTTTATCTTTCACGTCTCCTCCTCCCTCCTCAACAAAAAAAATGTTCTAATGTAATCAGAAAACATTAAACTGACGATGTGAATGCTTTGGACAATTGAAAGCAGAAGAATAAAACCTTGAATAAAAGAAAAAAAAAAAGAGAAAAAAAGAAAGAGAAACCATTGCTTAAAGCGATCGATTGTAAATAATAATTGAAACTTCAATTTCTTTTCCCCACTCTTCTATTATTTCCCTTCCTTAAAACCTTGACAAAAAAAAAAATCACCTTTCGTGGCAAAGCGAGGAAAAAAAAAAACAAAGATAATTTTTTACCCATTTTTTACACGACTCTGTAAAAATATTACTACTGTTTTCGGTAATAATAATGAACATCATATGTATTAATATATATTACATATATACACATAATTTATAAGTACGTAACAATACGTGTATCAACAACCATCCAACGCCAATACTAACCGCACCACTACAACTCCCCCTTTGCTGCTCTTTCCGTTGGCTGTTTGCAGAAAACGTTGCTTTTTGTTCTCCGCAGTCCAACGTTTTTTTGGTTAGCGTAACGTCGTCGCTGACCGATTGCAAGTGGAGGGAAGTTTTGGTGTCAGTTCGTAATTGTCGTACTCTGCACTTCTCCCGCGCGTACTTTAGTCTTTATCCTTAAGCAATTTAGCATTACATTCTGCTCGACTGATAATATTAATGCGACTGTTGCATGACGACGCCCAGTTGCCAGAATGCCTGATCGTAACTTGTTGAGAGGATTAGGTTAAACGATGAAGACGGATGGAACAGTTGGTTACTGCTGTAGACCTTGATGATGATACCGGTTGTATGAAATGAATTCTAGTGGCTTAAATTTTTATAAGTCTGGAGTTCTTGTAGCATATTTTTTATAAATTACTTATTAGAATTGTTCTATAGATATTTTTGATCAGCTGATATGAGGTATGCAGATTTTTTTCTTCGTGCGAACTAAATATTTTTTATTACATTTAGGTTCTCTTCTGCTTCATTTCCCATCGTTTTTCCGTTCTTCAACTCCTATTGTAAGTCTTTTTCGATTATTTGCCAATGTTGACGAATTGAAGTTGATGTCCGGATAACGGTCGTAACTGTTATGGTTAAATCTGTTAGCTTCAGTGAGTATTTTTGTAGTTGCTAAGTTCGTATAGTACTTTTCTTGCTGGTGGCTCGCACTTTAAGTTTCTTCTTTAAGATTTCCTGAAAATTTTCACCAAGTATATTCGAGATAGATGTTTTTTTTGGGGGGAAATAATAGTCTTTTTTGAAGAATTACTGGGGTTATGTTCCGCACACACTTGCCAGATACGAACGTTCAGCTTTGTCAATTTTAGTGTTGTATAGGAAAATACAATTTTTAAAAAAAATTATCACAGCTGAAAGAAAATTTGCTGATCTTGCAGAATTTAAATGGGCGTGAGTCGGTTGCACCAATTCTTTATTCTGTAGAAAATTTGATTTCTTCCACTGAGTGAAGCGGGTAAGAACTATCTGGAAAGAAGCACGTAGATGTTGAGCTGAGTGTCAGGTCACCATGACTGACCTCTAAGTTAAATTCTGGCAAAAGGCGAAATGTTCAGTCTTTGGAGACGTGAATGTGCGCCCAAAGAATATCATAGTTCTGGAGTCTAAATCAAAGTTATTTAATTTTTTCTGCTCCCTCTTCCTCTCTGCCTCTTCATCTCTTGGATAGATTCAACTGGTGTTTTAAAAATACTTGAGCTTTCAAATATTTTTTTTAGTTGTTTCAAGAAACTTGTTTCAACAATTTTTTAATTTGAGGCGAGCATAAAATTTGAAAGTACTGTTTTTACCTGTTAGCATCAAAGTGCTAGGTGGTTAGAATTCAAGTACAATACTGAGCAGAATTCTCAACGAAGATCATGTCATTGAATAAAAGTATACACTGCTTGACAACGTTTTCCCTCTAGTGTAAAATTTTTATTTCCGTATTTGCTGACTTCTTTGTTTTACTCAACAATTTTTATTGGTTCTCAGGATATTTTACTATGCTTTTATAATTTTGACTGAGCACGGTACTTTTATTAATGGTGGGTTGCGTTTCCGGTTCTTGCTTTCTGATTTCATAGGGCTTTTAATTGTTGTATTTCAAAAGTACGGTTGTTCTTTGTAAATTTATTGAAGATAATTTCTCCTGAAGCTCTGAAGGTGGGTGGATTATCTTTTGTGCGCATCCATCAAGTGTTGAAATCACCACTTTGTTTTTAGTATTCCTTTCATAAGTTGGTTGTCAGGGCTCTTTATGTTAAAGCCATGGATGCTTGCTCCGGTTTTTGTACTTTCCCTACAACTGTGAAATTTGCTGTACGAAAGTTTACATTATTAGCTGGATAACGTAATTGTGTGTTGCATGAATCGCCACCTACGTAATTGTTACGTCGAAAAAAAAAGATTCTTTACGGTGTCGTTCGTCAAGCAATATAAATGAGGAAAATTTTTCTTTGATTTGACGTCAGTAGTTGTTTTTTTTTTCTTTTTTGCAAGATTATGCCAGGGATTTTATAAATATACTTTTTTTGTGTTCAGACGGTAGGGTGGTGTTGTGTTCTGGCAGTCGTTGATCACATGGGATGCCTAACGCAATAAACTGCTAAGCCGACGTCTGGCACAGAACAAGGAAGTTTTAGGTGATAAAAAGCCTACGAGAAAGATAATGGTAGTTTGGGACGGCTCTGGGAAATTGTTTCATCGAACAAGTGAACAAAAGACAAGTGATTTAGTTGCAGTGCGGAGTCTAAGCATTCCAAGGCGTAATAATCGAGAAAATTTTATATTTTTTTTGTGCTGTTGTCGGTCTTATGTTAAAGTGAGAGAACATCTTTATGTGGGTGGAGTTTGGAAATAGTAATTTGTATGAGCGGAAAGTTTTGGTGTCTAGGGTTTTTCGATGCACGTTACTGATTTGATTTGTTCAGGTACACCTTTGCGGTGACCATTCACACTTCACATTCATTTTGTATTTGGTTAGCAACAAGTGAAGAATTCTTCATGAAAAGTGTAGAATTCTGTTTCATAGCAATGTGAATACAAAAACATTTGCTGTATAGTTAATTTGTTATAATCGTGTTAGAATTGTTTATGTATTTAAACAAATTTTTATTTTGAAGTATAAGTGAGTGGGAATAGATTGGTTTTTGAAATAAGCAGACTTATGCGCAATTGAACGCGTTTTGAACACAAGCTAAGAAAAGTTTGTTAGCTGAAGTTTTTGCTTTGAACAAGTTCTGAAGGGTTGAGAGGGGATGACTCCTCTAAGGTTAAAAATTATAGCTTGTGAGATTTTACGATTGATGTTTTTGTTTGGGTTAGCGGATGTAGTACAGTATTGTTGTTGTGAGTTTTATTAATCAGTCAAACGTGAACAGTTTGTGGTCAATATCTCATTAGCACTGATTAGTTGCTTAATTTTTGAAAAATTATTATGTTTGTGCTGTAATTTCTTTTTCTGTCTGGGGAAAGTGACTTTTAAAGCTTTTGAAATCAAGACAGAATTGAATTTAAATTTTCGTCCGTATCAGACTGAACAGTCGTGATGACGCGTTTCATGTGATAGCGGACTATCTAAATAAGTTTTATAGTTGTCAAAGAAGTATGAATATTCTAAGCATCAAGAAAGACGTTACATGTGCTTATGCGTGAACGTTTCAGTAGATTGTAAAAGAATCAAAATAAGATTCAGCAAAATACTGGTTATTGTTGTTGACAAAATTTGCACGAGTGAGTTTTTAAAGAATACGAGAATTTTACTGAAATTTTGAAGACAAAGCAATTTTTTTTCTGTAATTTCAGATTTGATAGTGATTTTAGAAGAAAAAAGTGCTTTGGTTGTCTGTAATTTTGATAATAGAAGAGAAAAAAGTTGTCATTTATTACTTGGCAAATCGAAGGTGAAAAGTCTGATTAGTTTTTCACCTTCGGTTCTGGTTTTGAAGAACTGCACAGTTTTTTGAGTGAATAGTGTAACAACCATCTGTTTTGATTGGACAATGAATTTTGCTGTTAGCCAATGGCACACTGGTACACTTAGCGTCATGCAGGTCTAGACGAGTCATCGAAGTATTCACGTTACTAAAGGGGAGTTTTTGAGGCGCTAATTTCTTTTTTTTTTGAAAAAATAAAAATAAAACGGTAGTGATATATTGGTAGAAGGAATTGTCTTTATTTGTCACCGTTGCTATTGGAAAGGTATTTCTCCCTAGATGGAAAACTGTGAGTTCTAATCGAAAACAACATCTTTAGGAAATACTGTTTATTGATGACAACCTGATGAACAAAGTAAGGGCAATTTTTTTAAATACTACTTTTAATCAGGAAGATCATTCGTCTAAAAAAGCAAACAGACTTTTGTTGTTAAAATTGATGACATCAGGTACAGTGAAATATGTAAGAGGAAGAAAAAAGTTCATGAAAGACAAGCTTGATTTTTTAGTTGGTCATTTGTAATGTCGACAGCGATGAACGTTTGTTGATCTGTGACTTCTCGGTTACAGTTTGTAGATGTGGTTTATGATACCTGGACAATTAAGTTAAAGTTCAACGGCCATACCAGAACAATATGCAATAGATCACACACCAAAGAAGTGCAAAGTTTAGGTGTTTTTTTAATGCCAGCTTCAGTCTCTTAGGTGACCTCAAATTGGATAAAAATTCAATTTTTGAAGACTAATTTTTCTCTCTAAAAAGACACTGTCTGGCATCGGAATTTGCCTGTCGAGTTGCCTTGTGCACATCATAATTCAAGTGGTAGACAACAGGACCGTACTTGTAGGAGCGGAAATCTTGTAAATTTCTATACAAAGTCTATTACCCTAGGATACAAATAAATCTTCCTCTAAATTTCCATCTTGGTCATCCCGGAGAGTGAAATTTTCTGGAATCACCTGATCTCCTTTACCTTCATTCCACTGTTGTGTCCAGTACTTTTATAGCAAAACAGTATATCAGCGTTATAAAATTTAGAATGAATGTAATAATGGAAGCGTTAAAAGCAGTCCCCTTATTTTAGAATTTTTCTGAGGAATGCATCACGGTAATTACAAATCACAGAAGCTGAAAAGAAAGCGCTTCGCACAAAAACTTTTCTTTTAAATGAAAATTGATAAATTTGGCTCTTTTGCAGCAACGTTTTAAAACGACAACTCAATTTAAGTTCGTTCAGCAAAAGTTTATTGACAACGCAGTTCTTCACTTATAGTTATGGAACTAAAAACAAAAATTTCAGCAGTCCATAAACAGGGAATGACAAGTTTCCATCTGTCAAAAATTAAAAATATTTGAGAAGTCAAAAAAAGAATTCCTAGACTGTCGATGTACTGTCAAACTAAGTTTATTGAATCAACATACAAACTGCATTTGTAAAATACGATAAGCACTGCAAAACAAAGTGATGGGGAAATGCGCTAAGTAAAGATAAAATGCTTCGGTACCCAAAAGGATGCCTAAAAAGAGTAGGAGTACTCGAGTACTCTTGAGCCGCTAAGAATTAAACCCCTGTCTACAATATCTTGAAAGAAGTGAAAAAGACTACTCAAAACGTAAAACTAGATTTTAAAGAAATGTGGGGCAATTAAAAAACAGCAAGTTCAACAACATCTACCCACCTCTGAATTTAAAGGTTCTGCAAGTGTAGACTTTTGAAAACAAAACCAAATACAGCTGCTCAATTTAAAAACCGTCAAATATACACATCATAAAGAGGATCTCTAGCACACCTACATTTATCTGAAATACAAAAACAAAAGCTTAGCACAGTCCGCCAGGTACCAACCCAGACCTGCAAACGTAACTTTTACTGATCCAATAACCCTTAAAACGAAGTTGGTTAATGACAATTAAGCTACTTTTTTTTCAGTAAAAATCTAGAAAACGTTTCAACCAAGCAACAATGTGAATCAGATTACGAAGTGAAATCACACGCGATGAGAAACTCAATACATGAGGAAATCCAACTTTATTCCAGAGAAATAGTAAGTAAAAACAAATAAGGGCAACCAATAGTTAGAAAAAATTATTGTGGAAAAGCACAGCAGAGATCAGAAAGCAATTAGAAAAGTAAGGTATTCAACGATCTTCTCAGAAAAGCCTCCAACAATTCCTCAAAGTTAAAAAGATGACTTATAAAACCACTTATTTAACCCAAGGTTAAAATAAAGGAACCATTAAACACGCCAATTCTCCTCTTTCAATTTGAAGGAACACCTACATACAACAGGGCTTTGTTTAACAGAAAATGTATCAATGCTGGCAAACTCCCATCACGGTGTATATAAGAAGTTAAACCTAAAAAACAATCTCAAACGATAACGTTTTCTAAAAAAAACAATAAAGAAACGCTTCTATTTCTATTTGAAAAAAATACTAGAAAATACGAAACAAACAAAGTTTACCTGCTCAATGTCTGTGGGAGGCTAGCAATCAAAGGTCCATAACCTGTAGCGTTGTCGTAAAGTTCAAACAGGGGAGCAGCAACTAGCTTATAATTTTTTGGAACTGCGAAAAGCGCTCTTTCAGGAAGCTGCACCAAGAAAAGCTTTGTTTGCTCTTTTGGCTTGGTAACATGTGCAGGAATGTAAGGATACTGTAAAAGTAAATTTTCTCTTATTCATTTCAAGAAGATGACTGATAATCTAGCGAACTTCAGAAAATAATTATCAGTACCCTTGGTGGGTCAAAGTTCGGCCTCCACCAATTACCAATAGTGTCTTCGATAGTCCAGAGGTCTTTTGCTCCGTCTTGCCTACCAAGGGTCTGAAATCAATAATAAAATGCACTATTCAGTAACAAACTAACGCTAAAATTGTAGAAGCCAAAATAACAAACAAACCGTAGGTAAATACACAACTTCTGCAACCTTCATTTTAAAAAGCATTTGATATCAAAAATTACCTCGAGAGGAGGAAAAAAACACCAAAATCTAAACAGAAATCTCATTAAAATTCTAAATATTGGGCATTTTACAAAAACTAAAAATAAAAATAAAAACGATCTCACCTCGGTAAGTAGTCTTTTCAAACCTTCCACCTCTTCTTCTCCTGGATTTAACTCCCCACCAGGCCTATTAAACAAACGATAATTAGTAGCAGGTGGTTCGAAACAGTACCGCAACTTGAGACAGAAGGCGTAAGCATATACTAATTATATAGAAAAAAGTTTAAAATAATTCCTAAAACCTACAATTTGAAGAAAGTGGTGCCAATCTGAAGCAATAAGACGTGTGGAAGAGAATGTTCATGAACCAAAAGCACGCCTTCTACAGAACGCCTCATGCCAATTTTTTCATATTCCTCCCTCATTCGTTGAAACCGTGCTTGCACCGAGTGGTCACGTTCAGCCTGGGCATCTTTCGTTCCAAACGTGTAATTCGTGAGTGGATACCTGAATTAAGAAATAAATGTCTTTCAAATTGTCAAACTTTTGAAGAAATGACCACTGGAAATCTTACTGTTTTCTATAAAAAAATGGAGGAGAGAGGTTCTGTTCAGAAAATGCAACTAAAAAACATAAGCATTTAATAAAGATAATACGTTTTAGATACCCTTGCCTTGTATAATTTAGTTTATTAAAACAAATTTGAAAAAAAAGCTCATTTTAAAGTGGCCATATCCAATTGAAGAAGAGTCTTTACACTTGTAAGGTGCGCATTTTCAACCTGGCATTCACCAGCAACAAAAAGCACGAGAAACTGCCTTTCCCAAAGAAACGAGTAAAAAAAGCTTGCTTCATAATGCTAACAACTGATATTAGAATTGATTTTAACTTTTGCCAAAATATGATCAAAAGACCAGAAGAAATGCTTGATAATTCACCCAACTATTCATATTTTTCTTTTCAGATGGCAGTACTCCTCCTTCCTTCAGATAAATATACAATTTTTTGCATGATTGAAGTTTTACACAGCACAGCTGATAAAAGGAACGTACGCACACTTAACAATTGCAAAAACATCATCTTCTCTTCCTCCAGGTATGTCAACAAAGGTTTTTCCCCTAAACCAAATTAAATCAGTTACCTAAATTTGATGAAATAAACCGCAGAATGAAAAAATTAAAGAAAAGCTAACATAAATGAGTAGTAAACTTACAAATTAATGGCTCTATCAATACTTCCAACAGCCTCACTGAATTTCTTTACAGCACTGGTCGGCGTAGTCACCACCTGTGGCTTTGTAATAGGCCATCCAGTTCTCGACATACCTGTCATTTATAAAACAAAAAAAAAGCGGTGTTTAGTAAAATAACAATAGGTCAATTTTAGTTTTGAACAAGAGCAACAAACTAATTTAACACCTAATTGTCATTCAAAAAATTTTAAAGATCAATTTCGTGATTTCCCAGATGTTCAAATCTAGCATCCAGACAGTTGGTGGGTGCACACATAATACACCCATAGTAAAACCCTTAAAAAAAAAGAAAGAAAAAAATATTCTCACACCTTTTAAAAGAAAAAAGCCACACTCCCTAAAAAATTAAAAAGGTTTTAAAAACTCTCCAGTAAAAAAAGAGAAGCAAAAAGGTAAATAAAAATAATGAATACAAAAAAAAAAAAAAAAAAAAAAAAAA